ACAGGTTCATCATAAAACACTTGCCAGAAAGCACTCAATGGACATAGTGCTTGCATTAAAGAACATAATAAAAGATATTCTAAACAGGAGGGATGGCCAATATGCAAGAAATTATCACAGGAAGGAGATGGAAGTGAGTTTCCAACATAGCAAGTGCTGAAGCATCTGGAAGAAAAAGAAAAATTCTACCCTGCTCTAGCACACAGGTTGCTACTGTGTCTGGGCAGCACAGATCACATGGGCAATCAGAGGATCATCTAAAATACAGGGATCATCTGAAATAGAATAAAGCTATGCTGGACAACCAGAAAAAAACCAGGCTCCACTAAGGTGTAATGCATATCATTTGGAGCACTCATTTGGAGCAAGGACAAAAATAGCCCAATATGGAGTGAATTTATCTTGATTCAAAGGTCTCTGTCTTTTGACCACAACTTTTTACATTTTTAATTGGTACAACCAGGATTTTTTTTTTTTTTTGTAAACAAGGATAGCCCACACAAATTAGTATTTCAAAGGTTCCAATTACATTGCTTGAATTGGATTTTATGCATCTATCAGGCTGACGTCTGGCAGGATAGTGGAATGAACAGAACAACTGTGGCAATGCTGGAAGAAAAGCATGAATGGGACAGGTAGCTGGTTTAAGCACAGCCTATGAAGCCCTGACACTAAATAGAAGAAAAGATGCAGAAATGAAAACATACAAGGTGTGCTAGCAAAGTCACGTTACAGTTGCATGTATAATTATTTAACATGTCAAATCAATTTTTTTTTAATATGAAAGACTGAAGTCTATAGAAGAGTTATTCCTTAGTAGCTTGCAATTATAAAAAAAATCAACTCATTTAGGGTATCCAGAGGCACATAGAGAAAGGCCTGTAGGAGGTGTTGAATATTAGTCATTCAAACCAATGGAGCAGAAAAGGCAATGCAATAGAACAACAGGTAAAGAAAGGAAGGTATAGACTTGAATAGCCTGGAAGATAAGAACTGATACAGTGGGAGAACAAAACAAAACAAAAGGGAGGGAATGAAGCTGCAGATCAGCAACAGTGATCTCTTGAGTCTCTGCTGACATTTTCTTTTGTTTTGAAATAACCCCCATCCAACAGATTCCAATAGTGGATAAAATCCAAACGTAGCCATATAAAGACTTTTACAGGAGCAATTTTATACTGCTAGTTCTCCTTCTAAAGTCAGTCTCTTTAAAGGGCAGAAACTTAACCATATTATCACCCAGTAGCAGCAGTCTTCTTTCTAGCATTTTATGCATGTGAGGTGCAAGACCCTGCATCTTTGCATGCTTTGGATTAACTGAGTAATTTACCAATCTTGCGTTAGAGTAATGAAGGATAGAGAAAAGGAGTATAATGAAGGGTACAGAAAACAGTTGCAAAATACTTGGTCACTCAAGCAGTATACATTTAAATCTCACCATTTTCCCAATTACCACTGTGTTTGTATTTCTCTAAGTGCATAAGTGACTGTGTGTGTCACAGTAACTTTCACACATGCACACGTACACTGACAACAATTACAGACAAAGCAGCAGCACAGAACAGTTATTTTCACAGACTGTCCTTGCCATGGCCATTACCTGATTCGCAAAGTTATGGGTACACAGTGTTCTTTGGCTTCAGCCTTCTGAAAATTAACTGACCTAGAAATAATTTTTTAAAAGTATTTTCATATCCTCTCTCATTCTTTTCATCCTCCGCCTCCCTTGGGAAATATTTTTAATTACTTGGATTCACTCAAAATGAAGAGCACAAGTTTCTCATCAGGAAAAATCCATCTCTTACACTGCAGGGAAGCAGAACATAGCTTCAAACATTAGAATATTGTTTCCTTAGACTGAAAAGAAATATTCAGTGCAGTACCAAATCCTGTGGATTAAGTTCTTCAAAAACAGCTGGTACCATGCAGACACTGGAGTCATCCCAGTACATATATGCACACATGCATTGCATGTCTGAAACCAAATTTCTAAGTGTCAATTTGTAACCCAGAAGTTTCTTGTGAACTGCCAGTGACTGCCCAGATGGCAGGACAAGACCACTAGGAACAAATTAGTTTTGTTGTGCTGCAGCCATAGCTGGGAGACCCCATTCAGATCAGAGCTGACAGAACCACCTCAACAGAAGCTGCCCAGTAACATAAAGTCAAAAGTATTTCTATCAGCAACAGTATTTTGGGTGACATGCAGCAGATGTGTAGAGCAGGCAGACAGCAAGAGTTTGTCTAGCTGACTTTCATCAGGCTTTTATTAAAGCATCTTCTGGAGATGGGAAATTGGGATCCCTCTCAAGCCTGGACAATATGAGACTTCTACTGCTAGAATAAGACCACAGACCACAATGCCACAGCAACTTCAGCCTCTAATTTGGTAATCAGAGGCATTGTTAAATTTAATTTTCTTTTTTTCCTAAAAGCTAGGAATTATAAAAACTTAGAATAAGGGCCAGCATTTCCCACTCTAAGCCTCAGCTCCAAGCAACATAAAAATGTCAGATCTAATCTACACTCACAATTAGGTTATGAACATGAGCAGAAGGAGTGAAAGAAGTTAGATGTGTTTCACATGCTATACACATAACCCACATAAGTTTAAAGCCCAAGTTAACACAAATGTTTGTAGCTTTAAGCAAACAATGATCATATGTCTGTCCCTACTTGACTTTACTAGTGCAAATTGCATTTGTTCCAGCAGTACTTGATTGTGGAACATCTACTCTAGAGTAGCTATAGCCACAGGCAGTTTATAATCCAGTCAGAATACTTCCTGAGGTCAAAGAAAGGAAAACCTGGGTCTAACCAGCTGTTTCTTAAGAGTGATCCAATGGTGGAGAATTAATGGACATATCCATTACATGAGAAAAACATCAGCTGGCACCACCAAGTAAAAAGATTTGAAGGGCTCTTTCACATCTCTCCTCATCTACTTCAGACAGCATTGCATACAAGCATTTGCAAGTCACAGAGACAGGCAGCACCCAAGGAGTGCAAGTACTGGAGCCTGATTTATGAAAGATTAGAGGGACACATGGACAACACACATGAGACAGACATTCTATAGGAGTTGCCACCACAAGCAGCTGATGGGCAGAATTTGAATGCTGGGCCCATGGGAGAACCAACAAGCTGTGGTCTGCTCAAGATGGAGGTACAGCAAGAAAAAACGGAGAAAAAAAGAATGTAATTGTATGTTATTTTATGTATATTTGCCCATGCTTTAGGAAAAAGAAAATTAATTTAAAAAAAATCACTCCACAGAAGTATGGCACGTACCTGCATATAATATGAGTAGCAATTAATTTTTATTTTCATTGTACTGATATTCAATTAGCAGCTTTAGCATAAGCTTTTAATTACTTTAGTAACTACTAAAAAACATTCCTGGGTTGAATTGATGAGTTCTAAATGCACACCTTGACCAACTCCTAAAGACTGTAGCATGCAAAAGTCTTTTATCAAGTCCTTCTGCTGAAATCTCTCTAAGTTTAGAAGTGTCATTCAATTTCTTTAAGAAAGAAAAGAACCCCCACAGACAAGCAAAAAACACCCCACATCCCCCCCCCCTCAATGCAGAGATGCTATTTTTCAGTCTCAATATAAAATATAAAATCACATGGGTTTCCTCTCAGATACTAGCTGAAAGAACAACAGAGATTTAGGCTGAGAACAACATAAAAAAATGCAAAAGGAACAGTTACACCCTACTACTATTGTGATATCAGCTTCCTGTTAGAATAATAATGGCAATCTTCACTTTTGGTCACAAGGGCTTTTTATTCAGAGATTGAAGTAAACGCTTATGCAGATTTTTTTAGTGACTGTGAAAAAGTAATTTCATTTGTCGCTAAAAAAAAAAATCCATAGCTCAAAATTCAACTGGCAATTAAATTTTAATAAATACAATTTAAGCATCCAGCGCAAGTTAATCCTCTACCCTGTTATAGCAAGATACAATTTTCCATTTTTATATTAACTCCCAAGCTTCTAGAATGTTTATCTGATATGAGGAACAGGAAAGTTTAAGATAACTCAAGGTTCACACTTATTTGCAGTTGAAGTCTAGCATCTGATTCCTGTCCTGTCATTTCAAACACAATCCTGCAACCAAGATGTAATTTATTCTATAGTTCTATAAAGAAGAAAAAAGACAAACAAGAATTAAGGGCAGAGTTTAAAATACTCCTCTTCAGTGCAATATTACTGCCCAGCTGCCAAATCTTGTAATGCGAAGGAGAACATGCAATCATTCACGACTCTTAATAAATATTTCCACCACCACAAAAACTCAAGGGAAAATACTTTTCTTCCTTCTGCAGGATAAGCATATTCCAAGCCATGCTCCCACAGAACAATACCAAGAGTACCTTCTGAAATACACTGTGGGAGTTGTGCCATGACACAGAGAATCTAAGTATGCTCACTAAGCCAGTATCATCAAGAAGTGACAGAAACACAGAAAGACCGGAGACAAGAGAAAGGGCTTAGGAGAGAAAGGTGTCAGAAGCTGTCAGCTGAAGAGCAATCTCCACCTCTCCACCTCTTGCTTTCAGCCCCTAGCTATGACTCACTTTTTTTCTGAAGCAACTAAGAACTGAAATGACTTAAGTTTCTAACCTCAGGCATATTAGTGGGAAAAAACATTCAGTTACATGCTTTGATGGAAGAACACAGTATTATACTGGAAATCTCTCAGAAAGATTGAAATCAAAAAGAGAGGTTAGAAAGAAAAAAGTGTAGGAAAAGGTTATGAAACAAGCCCTCAATAAATCTAGTAAAGAGAAGGCTGAGTGAACAACTTACCTTCAAACGATGGATGCAAATGGAACACCCAAGAGACTGTTGGCCTGAATTATCAGATCTATTTCAGTTGCTAAAATAAAACCTTTCTCCTGCATTCAGCAGTGAGTGCCCTCATTTGAACACCCCTTTTTTCCTTCCTGTAACCCAAAATACTTCTACAAGCAGCACAGCTTGTAATGACTTGCACATTAGCTCAGCTGGTCAGAGCATGGTGCTAACAACACCAAGGGCACAGGTTAGATCCTTATATGAGTTATTTACTTAAGGGTTGGATTTGATGATCCTTGTGGATTCCTTCTGATTCAAAATATTCTGTGATCCTCACCTTTAACATATGTCCTACAGAACGACCCACGCAATCTTACAACAGCTTTTTCTTCAGTCATTTTTCATTTGCCAATCAATCTCGACTGAAAACATCCAGAAGATGACCAAGAGGTTTTGGTAAATGGCTGGGCAGGCAAAACTCCTAACACAGGTAAAGTTTACTCAAGCAAAACCACAAAATTTTGTTACAGGACAGGCCAATGTTACGAAATGAATACTCTTACTAGCTATTACAAAATTTGCTGTCCTTCACCTTGAAGGTAAGCTGTCTTTTTAGATTTGTCCTCTTAACAAATACATCACAACAGATATTTTACTTCAGCAAAGCTTCAGTAAGTCTATTATCAAAACAAAACTCTACACTGTATCTGCTTCCTGTCATCACTGCAACAATATGGTGGAAAGTCCTACTGCTCAGTAACACACTGCTCTTTCCTTGAAAGACACTACAATTAGTAACCAATGGACAGATCTTCCCCTTCAAAATATCCTTATATTGGCATGGTGGGGGCAGGGGTACATGTTTTACTTCAGATAAAAGCCTCTGGAGAAAATGAAGCATAAGAACTTCCCCACTTTACATATTCATAGTTGTAAAGCAGATAGCATATTACTGGCAGTATGTAGCCTGTAAAAAATCCTAAACCATGATTTTTTTCTTAAAAATAGCTGCCCAAACAAATCATATCTAGAAATCTTCACACAGAAGATTTCACCCTTTGCTCAAAGGAAAATTTGCTTGAGGGAAAAGAAAAAAAAACCCACAAAAGTGACAAGTGTGTAACGTTCCACAGCTCATCTAGAACTGCTGCAGCCCACTCTAAATTACAATGTCAGTGGCTGTTTATGCTCTAAGGAAGTACAGTAAGTACAGTACAGCCCATTCAGGTTGTTGGAATGCCACTGATCACACACTCAATTGCATCTATTCATTAGAAACACTCAGTCCACAACAGCAGCTGCATTTACCACCACACCCCAAACACCACTCAGTTGCCCCAGGTGATTCCAGTGGTTTTCCAGCCCACGCTACAGACCTCCATACTCTTGTCCCCCCTATAGTGACTGCAAGTGACACTTCCAAGCCCAAGGACTTTCATTTACTAAAGAATGGCATATTAGGTGTGCTTTTGGCTTCAAGCTTTTACAGCGAGAAAGGTCTGGTCTTTCGCAGTCATGTTCTGTGAGTTTCAAAACTATTTAGGCTGCACTAATTATTTTTGATTGAAATTCACTAAATAATTACTGTTGAAAAGATGACTTAAGCAAACAACAGACAAGTTGCTCCATTTGTTTCAGAAAAACAATGACTAATTATGTGTGTTATTTTGTTTTTTCTCTCTTAAAAAAAAAAAAAAGTCATCGTGGCTTCTTTCAGGTCAACAGTGAAGTCTCCATTAAGTTTAGGGGATCAGATTACACTATAAAACCATAAACTACACAATGGCTGAAATACAAATCTTTCTGGAAGAAAACATGTAATTTAAAATAACACTGGCAACTTCCTAACCAATTAAAAAAAAAGTCTGCTTTCACATGTAACACCAATGACTGCAACTGAAAGACATAAGAATTTGGTATTTACTTCATGAATTACACTGCATTTCATATACTTGTTAAGTCCACCAGTTGGTTTATAATGAAACCAGTTGACTGTGTGAGACTTTCATAGAGCAAAAGTAAAGTAATAAAATGTTATGTTTCCTTTTTATTTAATAAAACCAATTGCAATTTAATCTTAAAACTTGAGAGTAGTTTTTGGCAGAACAGGGAGCTACAAACCCCAATAAGCAACATCTCTTGTAGAATGTGAAATGGTTGTCGCTAAAATCTACCCATGCTACAGATATGACAGATGAGCAGAGCTAACAAGAGTATTAAATAGAGGTATCCTTTCCCTAGCCTCTAAAATTCTTTCCCTTTTCAATTTTCACTACTTCCCTTCACCCTTCCAAAAATCCTTATTGTAGCCTAATAAACAGACTGAAGAAGAATCCTGATCCTTGCATGGTGTCCACCACAACATTTCCCACAAGGTTAGAGTTACTTTTCAGTGTTCCATCTAGAACACCAAAAAGCATCAGCCCAAATCCAGCTGGAAAACAGAGTTCTCATAAGATCAAACTGAGTGTTACAGCCCTCTAGTCCTTCCTCACAGCTTCCTAGAATGCTCATGATTAGAGCTTCTTATGACAAACTGCCAGACGCTTGCAGCTGCTGAACAGCTGATTTGTGTACCATGAAGCAGGATCAGGAGGGGTAAGACTTTGTATTCTTGCTCTAGTGGAAGGCTCAAGTTGAACATTAGCTGTTGATAGACTGAAATCCTTAACCTCAAAACGGCTGCTTCTGGCTTTTGAAAGGGGAAGGTTGGGTGTGGGCTTCAATGCCCATTTACCAACCTCACAGGAGCATTGGGTTCAGAGGTAAATAAAACATCTCCAAAGAAACTGAAGCTGCCTTCACTTCTCTGTTAAATCAGACATTTGTTAGCTGCCTACAGGACTACAGAAGACGTCCGTGTGGTAGGCATTTGAAGGCTTTGATCCACAAGCAGGGACAAGGTAGCTTGGGACCACTGATTTACAACACATCTCATGATATGAAACAGCTCAGCATCTGATTCAAAACAGCTCAGGCACCAGGGGAAAATGAAGAATCTAGAGGTAGGAATCAGGTCTGTCACCCTACACCATGCCATCTCCAAGGTCAGATACTATTCACATCATGTCGAGAAGCTCCACTCATTCACAACCTTTCAGGACAGTGAATCTTCATGTGGTCTGGACCCACACTAGGAAACTCAGCATTTTTATTCACAGGATTCTAGTCCTGAAACTCCTGTTCGGACTCTAGCCAAATGTGATCCTGGTTAAGCCTAGTGACAAACACACCTAAAGAACAGGCCCAATAATGCCATTGCCAGGCAACAAGTCACAGCTAGGGAGAAACAACAAATGGGAGGATGAAGTATTGTGGTCAATGAGGAGGGGCAAAAAAAAGCCCAACCACCCAAAAATGTAAAATGTGAGCAAAATTTAAGGAGCAAAAATCTCCACATCAGTCAGAACTGGAGTCAATGCTCTAGAAGCAGCAATACCATTGTATGAGCATTGAAGTCAAAATAGCTGAATATAGAAAAAAAATTTACACATACTTCATTACATTGCTTTGAACACCAAGACATTTTAACAGGTGTTCAGGTATTTCTGTTCTATACATTGGCTTAACATTACCATGCTGTAGTATGCTCAAAGTACTTTCCAAGATTTCAGTCCAACAAGCCAAGTTCTATGTGTGAATGATTTGTCCCTGTAACCTACCAAATGTGCATTTCCAATCCAGAATCCAGCTGTGCTCATTTAACCTTGGCTCATATGCACAGAGAGTGTTCCCATCCTAAACAGCTAGGGAAATTTAGAGGCTCAAGTTCTAAAAAACACTGTTTTCATGGCGTACTAGAGATCAGAGAAAACCCTTGGTGCCTCCAGTTACATAATTCAGGACAACACCTTGGTTCACTGGACTAGGAAGTGTTTAGTTGTTCTGCAGCACTTCTTATTAGATATGCAATCTACTCTAGCTCTGATTATCTTGTACAGTATAAACTCTTTGGCATAGAAACAGCACTAATTAATATTTATATAGCTCCAGGGAAATGCATACTGTTTATAAAAATGCTTGATGTTAATTTTGTTATACAGAATCAGAATGTAGTCTAGGAGAGTTAAGAGAGTCACATTCTGCCATGAGTGAATGGGGGCTAAGTTTTGAAATCAAAGAGATGCCTCTGAAAGCACTTTGGTTTTAAATCTCTTCAATTTGTATAAAGGATTATAAATGGAAATGTTTCAGCTTGTCAACAATTGCTACTCAATCACACGGGAAAAAAAAAAGTATTCCTACGACACTCATAATCTGAACCCAAACCAGCACTTTTCCTCTAAAAAGCAACATTTTGACCTACTCCTGGACAGATATTAAAGTTGATACCAACACTGGAAGCACAAGCAAGATGAATGCAGCTCAACACCAAAAAACTGTTCTGCACCATGTGAAAGGTCCTTGAATTAAGAATATATTCCAGCATCAATCCCAGGATAACAAAAAAAAGCATCTCTATATCAAGTCTCTGATCTGAGCAGTGCTACCACCTCTTAATAGAAGCAGAGAAAGCAAAGAAGAAAAGGTGTGAACAGAATCATTGCAGTCAGCTGAACATTCATTCAAGCCCTCCTGCTTCTGGCCAACATCAAGATCCTTCAAATATCAGATATTGTGTCTATCATTTCTTACAGTTATTTCTGACAGTGAGCTGGGCTTAGATGTGCTAGACAAAATTCCACCCTATTACTCACAACTAAGGCTTGTTACTAAGCATTGCAGAAAATGAAAAAACAAAAATAAAGGAACAAAAAATAAGATAAGGAAGATAAAGAAAAAACAAGCTACTCTGTTCAGTCTCATATATCAACTGGGGAAACCATAGAGAAATCCTAGAGATCACCATGACAGTCTTTAACATAAATGAACCTCACACTAGGCACATCTGTCCCCAGTAAGTCCATCTACTCTGCTGCTCATACAGCAATACGACTGCCAGAAGAATCAATGCATTTCCACGATTTTGACAGCCACCACCAAAATCCTTTCTTCAGCCCAGAGTATAAACTTGTTTTGACAGCAGTGCCAACCCCCCCTCCCAACTCATACGTACCTGATCACAACCTGCATTCACCAGTTCCTGCAGCATCTGCCTGTTGACTTCCACGGCTGCTGTGGTGCTTGACTCATTAGCAAAGGGCAGCAGAGAATATCTGATTTCTCGCAGAGCTTTCTGATATGGTCCAAACTTGGGCGTTTGTCTCATCTGCTGCTGCCTCGCAGCATCCTTCCCTATTAAAATCTTAGGGTCCAGAGAATTTTCAC